CATGCAATGCTGGTAATCGGCAGTATGTACGGAGTACGGAGTACAGTACGTGTATTTTTCATGACGCGTGAGATGCAGCTCAGCATTGCCGTTCGCGGTGTAATTCTATTGGGCTAGAGCTGGCCTATTATATTACATTGTCGTCCTCGGATCAACCACTCGTCAGCGGGTAGCCTTTGGTGGTCAGCTCAGGTAGCCCGGTAAGGTGGTTTTCGCTACCTTAGCCAGGGGGTCTCAAATACCTACAATCCTTCCTTGCCTACAGCTACAACGAAGAAATTCTTGATCATCTTAGCTTGATACCTTCTCGCTAAGAAGCCCACAATACTAAGATCTATGCTCTAATTTAGCATATTCCGCTTGTCGCTCTAACTCTTCACCCAAAACGTGATATGAGCAGAGAGACCGATTTGGTGTTTTCGAGGCCCACTCCATGAACTTGATTGGTTCAGAGGCACCGGCCACGGAAAAATTTTACGGCGTCGTTCAGTGAGCTTTTTCAGTTTGGATGCCGCTAATGTATTTGGAGCCCCCACTACCCCGCCACTGGCTCTAGATTTTTATTATCATCAGGCTCTGTTTCTCCCTTTGGCTTTTGCTCCTCTTTGCCAGTCTCATCAGCTTCATTTTCTCCTCTTCTCCATCCCCATCTCATCCTAAAAGGTCTAATCGACTCCAACCGTCAAAATGCTTATCTACAAGGTACGACCATGAACAATGCCGTCTCATCACCTTGAGCGGTACCCCGCCTACTCTTACCCCGCGCTCGATTCTTGTCTTGTTTTTGTCTTATTCGCATGATCTGTCGCTGAACCCCGCCACAATAGGATATCCTCACCGGTGACGAGCTCATCTCCGACTCCTACGATCTCAAGGAGGTCGATGGCATCGTCTACGAGGCCGACTGTGCCATGATCGAGGAGGGTGGTGTCAACGTCGGTACGTGACGATCAGCATAAAAGCCCCAGGGCTGCTGTAAAACAAGGTTCAATTTTGCCCTAACACTATAATCCACAGATATCGGTGCCAATGCTTCCGCCGAGGAGGCTGCTGAGGATCTCGAGGACCAGGTCGTCAAGGTCAACAACATCGTCAGCTCTTTCCGTCTCCAGGAGACCTCTTTCGACAAGAAGAGCTACCTCACCTACCTCAAGGGTACATAGAAACAACCCCATCGAGATCCACGATACCAGAAGTTAACACCAATTCCAGGTTACATGAAGGCTGTCAAGGCTGCTCTCCAGGAGAAGGGTGCTCCCGCCGAGGAGATCTCTGCCTTCGAGAAAGGTGCCCAGAACTATGTCAAGAACGTCGTCCTTGCCAAGTTCAAGGACTTCGAGTTCCTTACTGGCGAGTCCATGAACCCCGACGGAATGTGAGTTTGCCCCTTGTCACCAAGTCTGTGTTCTTTAGGAGACTAATTATCTACAGGGTTGTCCTCCTCAACTACCGTGAGGATGGTGTCACTCCCTACATCACCGTCTGGAAGCACGGTCTTACCGAGATGAAGGTCTAAGGTGGAGGTAGTGACGTGGTGATGTTTTTGGTCTGCCTTGTTTGTGACGACAGACGGACGAGCAGTTATTTAGATTACGAGCCACACGAATCTCGTTCTCGGCGCTTGGTATATCCCCGAGATATTGCGATGAGATGAACAAAAAAGAAAGAAGTCATGAGTTCCAACCAATTTTGTATTTTTGACCCTTTTGTGCAGTGATGAAGGCGATTCTCGAGGCAAAGAAAGCAAGAAACATCAAAAACTCCCCTAGATGCGCGCCTGGCAATGCTGTGCGTCTAATACGGATTCTCGTGACTTAAAATTGTGGCCTCGTTGCCATAGGAATGGGAGGAGGCTCATCGTTGGCGGGAGCAGCTGAAGCACCCATAAGAGCCGGCTTCTTCTTTGGTGGTGGTGGAGGAGGCTTCTTCTTTCCAACAACGCTGGCTAATCCGGGCGATGCTGGTGCAGAGGGAGCATCCTCATTTTGGCTTTGTGTTTGATTGCCTTGGAACTTGGAGTATGAATTCTGAGCCTTGTCAAGAAGCCCATACTTTTGGTTCAGGTTGTTTGCTGTTTTGGCTCCTGCAGCGACTTGTTCGCCATGACGTTGGCGGAAGTTGTTAGCTGTACTGGCAGCAGCTCGGGCATCGGATAGAGAGACTGAAGAAGGATCCTTTTGGAATGATGAGGCAGTCTTGAGGGCGGCTTGCTTCTGAGCCCATGTGGTGCCCTCACTAGGTGGCGGAGGTGCTGCTGTGTTAGCGCTAGATGATGTTCCAAGTTTCGAGAATCGGTTCTGCAGTTCACTCATGTGGGACGTAGCAGGTGCTGGAGGTGGTGACGCGACACCAGGTCGTGGAGGTTGGGGCGGGCTAGGCGATGCTTCGGCTGCCGGACTGGAACGACCGATACCAAAGCCAGGAACTGATATCCCTGCTGCACCCAGACGATTAACTGCTCCTTGATTCAATAGACCGTTGCCTGTAGGCGCAGGACTGGCAGCAGGAGAGCTTGTAATGGTGCTTCCAGAATTTGTCCTTGGGGGCAGTCGTGGTGGTAAGCTCGGAGGTGCAGCTCTTCCTCCTCCCCCTACGCCCGCCATAGCAGATTGATATGAAGGGGGTTGCCCCGAACGTCCATCAGCACCATCTCTGCGACCGGGAGGCTTCGGTAGGCTATCCGTTGAAAGACCTGTAGTATTTGTGCGATAAGGACCGCGAGGTTGCGGTTGTTCCTCATATCCCTCCTCGGGCTCGGCATACACGGGTTCTTGAGGGGGCGGTGCTCTCGGATCCATGTATTTCGAAGGAGCGGTGATAACCTTTCTCGGCCCCGACTCTTCCCTTGGAGGTGGTGGAAGAAGACCAGAACCGGTACGTTTGGGAGGTGGTGCAAAGGTTGAAGGGTCCTTTAGTTGAGACAGCGGAACAGAAACGTGACTACCTCGGTCCTCATCCTCAGACTTTCCTCTCCCAACGAGACCTTTCTGTGAGGATGTCAGCCATTGATAACAGTAGTAGGGAAGAAAGAGGAGAGAGGGTGCTTACAACTTGACCTTTCAAGCTGCTGCCGGGCTTTTCAGGATGCCATCCATTTTTCATGATATCCTTGTATTTGGACATGGCGAAGAGAAGACTTGTAGGTATCGGACTGCTATAGGAATGAAGGAGTGAGGTGAGGTGAGGTGAGGTTGGGATAGACGAGCTGCTCAAGGTTTACATTACCCGCAGTTCCAGTTCCATTTAGGTTGGGCCCAAATCCACTGAGCACGGGAGAGTGACGTACAGTTCTGCCGAGCCACTGAAGATCCGTCAGTCAGTCAAGCCACAATCTACCTAATGTTCGCGGGGTTGTTTTCTTTGACAGCTGAGATTCAGTGCTGACGCCTTGCGATTTAGGCGTCAATTCTTTGGACTTGACTTCTCATGATGGGATGTAGAGTCCATGAGTTTATAGCACATCATATCAATTGATTTGTAGGATTATTACACAATATTACTGCTTTAGTTCATTTGGCCCTTCTGACGGAGGACGAGATAGCAATTTAGCAGGTAATTAATTACTGGCGCAGGAATTGAGCATTTCTTAGACGCGTCTCTTCCATTTACGCGTCTAATCATTTATTAAACCACTTCAGCACTTCAACTTTGTACACATAGCGACAAATCAAAATGGCATCGCAACAAAACTCAGACTATGAACTCTTAACAGAGCATTTTGGGTACCCTCCAGTTGTAGGTTGATACTGGTAATATTACAATACCACAACACAAGCACTAACGCCTCCCAGTCTCTCCTCGACGACATCATCAACACTGTCAATGTCCTCGCCGACCGTGCCCTCGACTCAGTCGAACGTCTTCTTCTCTCTATTCCTCCGCAATCACTAGGCTTCTCCAATAAACATGCCTCGAAAGATGGAACGCCAGCTCTACCGCCCGACGAGGCAGCCAAGCTAGAGATTGAACATGGCACACACCAGCTCGAGACGCTTCTCAACGCGTCCATCGACAAGAACTTTGATTTATTCGAGCTATACACGATGCGCAATATCCTAACTGTGCGGCCAGACGATCAACCGTATATGCGTCTGGCGCACTACGAGGGCTTGGATTTCTCTGGGTCAGAAGGCCAAGATCGGCCAACGACAGAGTCTGTGACTGCGCTGCGGAGGAGATTACATGCTAGCCAGCGACTGCACACAGCACTCGAGTCTGAGAGAGCCCGAAATGATGCGCTGCTTGGAAAATTGAGGTCTGTGCTGGGTGTTGTGCCTGGAAATGTAAAAGCAGAAGAGGGACAGGCTCAGGCGCCAGACGGTTCAGCCTTTGGATTCTTGCGCGACAAGGCAAGTCTTCAGGCCGCGGGAGCCGACAAGCCCATCGCGACGACAACAGAATTCACCCTTTCACAATTACAAGCACTCCGCGCTCTATCAACATCACTACGCACATTGCTTCCAGACCTTGGGCCGACAGACGCAGACACCTCAATGGAGGATGCCTCGAGTAGCTCACGTACATGGAGACGTGAGCGTGTGGAATACGTCGAGGGTGCTTCGCGGAAATATCTCGAGTCAGCTAGGGGTCTGGAGCTGGGAGATCAGGGCGAGGTACGTGATGGCGAGTGGCAGGGAGAAGGACGCAAAATTACGAGAAGCGATGTTGAGGGGTTGGAACAAGTGGCTGCTATGCTTGGACAGAAGTCAACAACGACAGACGAAGCTTCTGGCGATGGAGAACCGATGGATCAGTCATAAGTTGAGAACCGTATCTCTATGTCAAGCTGAGTTGGTAATTTAAAAGGCGTTGGGCGAACGAAGAAAACGGTCTATATCATAGTCTTGGCGATGAAAGCTTTTGTCATTCAATATACAAAACAGATGCTTCAAGGCATGATCAGCATAGCATCTATCCCAGCGAGGTATGTGCCTCTAGTACATGTCTAACCCTTGACTAGTGGTACAATTCTCTCTTCCCATCATTCCTCTTTGTTGCCTCTATGAACGCGCATACTGCCTCAACTTCTGGCTGTCTATCAAACCATTGGTCTGAGCCAGAAACCAGAAATGATGTCTCCAGTATCGCTCATTCGCACTCTTGCTCTCCCTATCATGAAGCTTATCCTTGAGAACAACATCCACGACTCTCTTGGCCGACTCCGTGTCTTCATTTTCCAAAAGCGCTTGCATCAAATCCTTGAGACACGAGAGCGATGTGACAGGGCGGCCGGCATCGGCGAGATCGTCAAAGATAGACATGGCTTCTCGAACATCACCGCCGATGGCGTGGGCGGTCATGACTCGCTCCCACAGGGTCTGGTCGCCGCTGGACACCTTTGTCAGATTGTTGTCCTTGAGTAGAGTGCGGATCTTGTTGATATCAGGAGGATCATGACGAAGCGCGCGCTCAACCAGAATAGTGATCATGTGAGGTGTTAGAACAGGACCAAAGCCGTTGTCGCGCATATGTTGCTGCAGGGCAGCAACAACATCGTCAGAGCAGTTGGGAAGACCATCCAGAGCGTAAAGCATCTTGCCATATGTCTCGAGATTAGGCTTGAGTTCAGCTTGCTCAATATGGTTGAAGACTTCTTTGATAGCAACAACTTGCTCCTCAGCACTGGCATCATCCATACGCCCAATAAGAGACTCGAGCAGAATGGTAAAGGTAGCCGAGTCAGGCTCGATGCCCTCCTTCTGCATAGACTGTAAGAGCTCGCCGAGGTTCTTGTGATGGCCCATGCGAATCGTCTCGCGGATGATGATGTTGTAGGTGCGAGTATTTGGAGCGAGACCCTGTTTTCCAGCCCACGCCAGCAGATCGTGTGCGGCCTTGGGGTCTGTATTCAACAGACTCTTGAAGGCAGCGTTGACGGCTTCGATACTAGGCTCAACAGCTTGAGACTGTTTTCCTTTCTTAACTGCGCGTTGCCAGTTTTCTACCATCTCCGCGAGGGCCTGTAGACCTTTGCGATGCTGGCCGAGCTCAATAAGCGCCGACACACGCTCAGTCCAGATGACACTGTCGAGCTTCATGCCAGACTTGACAAGTTGATCCCATAATGCCTCGATCTTGCCAATATCCTTGCACATCTTCCATCCGTGCAACATACTTGTATATGTTCTGACTGTTGGCTCGACATCAAGCGAGCGCATTAGGTCCAGTGTCTCCTGAACTCTTGGATAACGACGAATTGCACACCACACAAAGATCCAAAAATCGAGGAATTCACGATCTTGAGCCAGCTGGGGTTTGATACTTGGGTTGTCGCGCAAGGCCACTAACATGTTGTCCCACACAGATCCAACGGCACTTTTGTTGCGTGCCCTATAAGCTGTTCGTAATTGCTTGTGAAAGCCGTTGACACTGGTTCTCGCCCCCGGATATGGACCCTGAGATGAGGCTTTCACCCAGGCTTGAGATTCACCCATGACCATATCTGATGCAAGAGCCCATTGTTGCGTGGCATACTCCTTGACTGTGGTCAGCTTCTCGGGGGGAAGTTTTGAGGTTTTTGATACGATATTATCGATATCAGCTTGTTTGATTTTGTACTTGGAGAGCACCGCTCGGACAAGTATTAGTAAAGGCGACAACTGCGTCCTGTAGTCAGAGCCAGAAAATCTGTTATCTGAAGTGATAGCGAGGGTAGCCAGTAGTGAAGGGATGACTTCAATGGCTTGTGGCGGTGGTAGTTGAAGGAACAAAGAGGCCAACGCTCGAGATGCCTGTGTCCCTGCTTGCGCCGTCGAGTCATCCCTGCTATACTCCGCATCCTTCAACACCTCTGTGACGCTGGGTAGTGCGAAGCGCGCCTCCTTATCGGCTTCACTGGGTCGCTTGAGCTGAGAAATATGCTGCCACATTTTGAGAATCTCCATCCTTATTGCGGTGCGGCCATTGGACTCATTCTTGTGCTGCAAGAGCTTGGCACACATGTTGAGAATGAGATCGTTTCGTATGCGAAGGCTATAGTCCCCAAGCGCCCGGTACTTCTCAGCTATATCGTGGCTGTTCTTGAATAGACCATTTTGAAACATGTGTTCACACTCACTGCTGAGCAGTTGGGTTACAGCTGTGTAGATAGTCTTGGGGATCTGGCCTTCAAGACCGACGATACTGGGCCAGATTTCATCGCGGAAGATGTTATAGCGCTCCTTGGGGTTGAACCCTCTAGACATGACTTCCTTGAGTCTTGCGCTAATTTCAATCTCAGTGACTACAGGCATAGGTCCACTGACAGCCTCGGTGCTTGGGGTAGCTTCATGATCGGCACGGCTCACGATTTCTTTGAAAAGTGCCAATGCAGGGTCCTGCTCTGATTTCTGCTTATGATTGAATGCATTGGCCCATGATATCGGCCCATTGTGGGTTTGTTTTGACTCTCTGCTGGTGTTGGCTGACTGTGAAGCTGTCCTTGTTCTGATCCTGGGTGTATCAGGAATATCAGCTGTGGTTGAATACGAAGCTGCAGCCCCAAGCCGCTTGGCTGAGGTCGGAACTGATCTCAACTGTGATGAGCATCTTGAACAGGCTGTTCGAGATGCGTACATGGCGTGAAGACCCCAGGAGGGTTTTGGTGGATGCAGTTGCAATATGTAACTCAGTCAGTGGAGGGTCACTATTTTCATCAAGTTGATGGTCCAAAAGGTGAGGAGCCAATCAAATGCGTTTGTGTATCCCACCTCGGTAAATTTCGGTGTGGCCTGTACCGGGTAAGTCGCTATGGAATGAAGAGGTGAAGCCAACTTATTCACAGATGTTTATTGCTTACTGTCTAGGTCGCTTCTGGGATTATAATAGTCATTAGTTTAGAATTAAATCTTCATTTATTCTTGTTATCTAATAAATCAATACCTCGTTTCTATCCAGTTGCTCCAAGTTCATTGTCCCGGTCGAAGAGTAGCAGAAAACTCTCCATCAATCTCAACAATCTTCTCTACACTCTTCTTATAGCCCTCTTCATTCTCAATCAACTCAATATACTCGGCCAATTTCGGAAACTCTGACTTCCAGGAGCCATTCTCAAAGCTTCCAAAGTTGTCGAGATCTTCTTTGGCAGCAATCAATGGGAAGCTCAAGAGAATATCCGCGGCAGTGAGTTGCGGTCCACAGATGTACTTGCCACCTGATGTAGCGAGATGACCTTCGATCATCTTGAGATTAACGTGCACGTTGGGGAAGATAAAGGCTGAGAAGATGCGGTTGGCAAGGATTGTTGAAATGGGGCGGATGAAGAAGGGAACCTGGGGAGACTTGAGGGCTGTATATCGAGTTAGTGTCACTGATTGAGGCGAGAGAAGAGAGACGGTTCACATACCGCTGATAACGAGGGCCATGACCAGAGGAGGCATGAGAGTACCTTCACAATAGTGAAGATAGTACTGATATCTCATCCAAGCCTCAGTCTCGCCAGCAATCTTGCCCTCCATACCCTCCTTCCATCGCTGAGGCACCAGCTTCTTACCCTCAGGCACGTTCTCCGCAAGATACTGAGTGATGAAGCCACTCTCAGCCAGGGTGATGGGCTCAGCGTCTTCAGCGGCGCCAGCAGGTCTGATCTGGATCACAGGCGACTTGCCCAGTGGGTGCACCTTTTGCAGCTCCGGGGGAGCCATCATGGTCTTCTTGTTGCGGTGGAAGATCTCAAGCTCATAGGGCAGATTGAGCTCCTGGAGCAGCCAGAGGATGCGCTGGGAGCGCGACTTCTCGAGCCTAAATTGTTAGCATTTCAGTGACCAATGTATAAATGAGACATACCAAAAGAGCTTGACGTGGGGTAGTTCGTTTGAAGCCATGATTAGGTGCCTAGCTTAATTGTGAACGGTTTGAAACGGTGTATCAAGATGAATCAATTGGCAATAATAGAAATCGAGTCTATGACAGCGTCTCAAAACATCCGGGAGCCTCAAATTTATACGGCCGATTAGTCTCGGCCAAGGTTCCAAATATGGTCGCCCTAAATATGATATGCGACCATGATGCATCACTTTTGGTTGGCTGGTCGATCTCGATCCATAAATAAAATAACAAAAAAGGACCGGGAGCATCACATGTGCCGAGTCCTCGGGTCGATCTATTTGGCAAGTATGTCTTCATTGATTTTGTCTTTCTTGCCTTTGTCTCATACAAACAAGAGCTCAGTTCCTGAGCCTCTAATCTAGTTACAGTATTTCTTTCTCTCTATGCCACTCCCAAATGCTGCCGGTTGCCGTGTGATGCGATGCCATTGGATGCGTTCCGTTCCTCTCACTCCCCGAAACCCCTTCCACAAAAGCAAATATAGGAACCGAACGCCTTTTGCTCTAAGACTCCTCCAATCCATAGGTAGGCTTTGCGCCAAAATCAACACGCTGTGACCATCGCCAAGTCCGCTGTAAAAACCATCGATATCCTTTTCTGGATGCTTTCCATATTCTTTCCTTTGCTATGCAGCCAATTCACACATCAGACTCCATTTTGATACGAGACGGATATTACTCCATAAGCAACATATAACTTTTTTTCATCGTCGTCGAGACTTTGCTGCTGGGGCTGGCGCTTCGTTAACGGCCTCCCGCTTTCGTGTCTGCTTTCGAGATCTGGGGGGTGGCGGGGGATCACTGTGTAAGTGTCCTAGTTCCTCCAGCGCGGTCGTGTTCTCCCACTGGAGACTGCGATAGTTGGGCACCTCCGGCGACTTGTCCCGGATGCGAGTGCTCATTCGCTTGTGACTCTCCTCTTTCTTCTCACCGTCTTCCTCCTTGGACAGGTAGGCCTTGCGGCTCTCCATATGCTTGGCGATCTTGTCCTTGAAGCTCAAGAGCTCCTTTCGAAGCTTGAGTTCGTTGAAACCACGAGGGTCTAGCCATTTGATGAGCTCATCTACATGCGCTGGCTCCGAGATGTAACCCCACTGGTGTGCGTTGAAGACACTGGTGTTGGCCTCTTCCATAGCCTTTCGCTCAGGAACAGTCATGTTGAACTTTTCCTTGTACTCTTCCTGGAGCTCAGCAGGCAGGTCGATGTATCCTTCTCGCTCAAGCTCGTCAGGTCCTTGAACCCAGATCAGGCCGTTAGCGTAATCGGCTGATGCAGTCGAGCTATCAGGAAGCCCACCATACGGCATGCCATTTCGTTCAAACCAATAGTACCGGTTCCAGAAGCGATCCTTCCCGAGCACTCGGGTTCGTGGGCAGTCAGCCTCGCGCAGATCGTTTTCGATGACGGCAATCTCGTCCTCACACTTTTTGACGACTTCCTCTTTCTTCTGAATGTCCTTCAAGAGTTTGATGAACTGCTTTGATTGGGCTGGCGGCTTAGGCGTCTTGGCAACCTTGGCTGCCTTCTCTTTCTTGCGAGCCTCTTCTTCCTCTTGCTTACGCTGCTTAGCCGTCTGAGGTCGTCGGCGCTTGCGAGCCGATGGGTCATCTTCCGTTTCTTCGCCGTCTCCCCCCCGTGAGATAATGGAATCTTCGGGATCAGCCATTTTGACGTCTCCATCCTCTTCCTTTGGTGGGGAAAGAGGCATGTTCTCCGGTAGGAGGATCTTTTTCTGCTCATTGAGTTGGCGTAGATCTTCAATGCTGCATAAATTGTTAGTATTCGCTGCCAAATGAGGAAGTTTGGCTCTTGACTTACGCTTGCTTACGTTGCCGCTGCCATTCGATCCTCTCCTTGCGGTACGTGGTCATGGTTTCGCTGCAATCTTCCATGTAGCCTCGCATGGCCTTGGTCTCAGTGGTTAGCATGCAGATTATCTGCAAAGCCTTGACCCGCTGGTTGACGTCGAGTTGGGCGTATCGCTGCTTAACAGTCTCTTGAGTAGCGTCAACTCCAGCAGGCACAAGGAGGTGCAAGAGCTCCTCGCAGACCTCATGACGACGTTCGTTCTTTGATAACTGATGGAGAAGGCCAACCATGATTCGCTCCCATCCTCCGTTAGCAAAGTCTCGCTTTCGCAGGTGTTCGATCCAGTCGTAATCCTTGAGAAGTTGCTCGGCGCGATGCTTGGTCTCCTCCTCGCTTTCCTTCTCAGCGGCCGCGGCCTCGGCAGCCAAACGCTCTGCCTCCGCCTTTGCAAGACTGCTGCGGGTAGCTCGCCCCACTGGCCGAGCCTCGGGCTCAGGAGTTGGCAGAGCGCTAGCATCCTCATCGCTGTCCTCGTCGCTATCTTCTTCGTCGACTTCGGGTAAAGTGATGCGAACCTTGCCACCATCGGCTTCAGAGTCCACCAGAATCTTCAATACTGAGCAATGGATCTCGTCAAGCAATTGAATCGGAACCTCCTCTGATGCGAAGCAGAGAGTCTCAACATAATCGTCAAATGTGAACGAGTCCAGCTTAAACACTTCGCAGTACACATTTAGGGTGTCCCAAGTCTCCAGCAATGGGCCAATCGATTCCATATCAATCTTGTCGCAATACTCACTCTGCGGCATGTCGTCGTTTTCAACCTTTACAGGTGGGTTTCTGCAGAGGAATTTGAGCGGTGGACGCTTGCGATCATCTCGGGGCTCAAGCTGCAAATCTTCGATAGGATATTTCGGGGGAGGTGGCGGAGGAGGAGGCGGCGTAGGTTCACGATGGATTGGTGTCTGGATGCTATAGTCCGAAGGAGAGCTGAATGGGTTGCTGCCATGGACAGGCATGTTAAGAGGCCACTTGAGACCTTTGGAACCAGATCCCGGCTGACCAGGCTTCGCCTTACTCTTGGGAGCCGGCTTGAGTTCCGGCAGACGCACTGGACCAGAATGAAGCGCAGATGTCAGATCATGACCGTTGGTGTCATGGTTGAGGTGGGCTCGCTTCTGGGCCTGCAGCTGTTTACGCTCCATAACCTTTGTGTCATACCGAAGATGAGGAGGAACACGAGTATCGATATGATACTGGCTCGCATAGTCATGCTTAACTAACCACGGTGCCCCATTCCATGCGTCTCGAGTGACAGTCTTCTTGATGAAAGATCGAAGCATCGCCTTGGTGAAGATACCCCGGTCGCGACAGATGTGCTCATCGGTTACAATCGTGTCCTGTTCTGTGTCCTTGAGATCCACCAGATAGCGAGTTGTAGGTAAAGAGTGGGTTCCATCAGGAAGAGCGCGGGGACCAAAGGTTGTCTTGTCGCGGACCAATCCATGAGCGCGATCGCCTCCCTTCATGGTCACTGTGACCTCTTCACCAGGGTAATAGTCATGCTTGAACTCGTCGTAGATTTGATCAACGAGGTTATCCAGGCGAGAAACGGTCTGAAACTGCACCTTACGCAGTATAGGGCCTTTCAACGCCTCGGGAAATGAAGCTTCGACTTCTTTGCCACCAGCAAGCTAAGCCAATTGTTAGCCTTTGAACAATAAATCAAAGTTTACAAAACAAACCTCGCTCTTCAGAGCTTCAAAGAAAGTTAGACCGGAATGGCCAGTAATTTGATCATTAAAGCGACGCTGCAGGATGTGTAAGCAAGGGATGTCAAGGTGTAAACCAGATATCATGGCTAACCTGTTTATAGAAATCCATTCTAAGAGTTGTGTAAGTAAGGTGTAATATTGGACTCTGGTGATACATGGCACTTACCGATCAAGATAGTCCTCATATGAGGTAAAGATCTCCCCTGTTTGAGGAATATGCCAGACCTATTGGCGGTCAGCTATTGCGCAAAACCTATAGCTATGTTAAGTTAGCCGTACCTCAGTATTCTCATCTTCAATTTCCTGTGCCGGCAAGAAGCGGACCGGTTTACGTTTGAAGAGGACCTGGTGATACTCGATTAGCAAAGGCGAAGTGGTCAAGAGGCAAGCAAGAGAAGCGCGTACCATGGTCAAGTAATCGAGGCGCAAGCGGCCGAGTCGGATGTGCAATAGAAACCACCTGCAAGGCTAAGGTATAGCCTGCCCCCACTAACAAGATTGAAGGTTGAAAGCGATGCTATATTGCAGCATGAGCACGAGGGTGATTGTGGTGGAAGACGCGACGTTGAAGAACGGTGCTAAGGTGAAATTTGGGGTCGCTTCGTTTTGCGTGGGCGGATCGAGGAGAACGCGGGCGCGCAGGTGGGAAATAGAAATCGGGGGTGGGCTCCTCGAGAGACGGAGTCCGGAGTTGAACGACTTACACGCTCGCTCGCACGCAGCGGAGAGCGAAGAAGCAAGGTATAAGACGCGGAAAGGATGATATATGATATATCTCTTGCAATGCGCAGACGCTGTCGAGGTAGAGACAAGTTGCGGGCGTGACTAGAGTGAGGAGAATGATGTAGGAAGAAAAGAAGAATCTAAAGAAGGAAAAGAAGCGGGCTACAAGTACGCGACCTGGGCTGGCGGGAGGGAGTTTAACGGGCAGGTCAGGTCCCGGTAGTACGGTGGGTCACTGAGAGCTGAGAGATACCCGGGCCGCCACTAAGATATGGGCCATGATTCAGTAACTTGCAAGTACAGGTACTTGGAGTCAATGCCGCCCCGTCCCTGAGGTGCCCTCCACGGCTGGCACATTAATAGGGTCCGATCCAATGCTTTGACGAAGAATGCGGCTGCAGATACCCGAGGATGAGACTAACACGATACTAAAAGTGAGAGAAGTGATGTATCAATAAGTGTATATATGATATATTACTACATACAATTTACTTGTGCACTGTCTATTATATTGTATCCATGCTTTGTTGGAGTCAACATCCTAAGCGCGTCAAAATGTCTTGTCATGTTGTCCCAGCTTTTTTTTTTAGTTTAGCTCCTCATGGATCCGTTCCATCCTCTCCACCTCCAACCCCTGTCGGCCCGTGGCCCTCCTCCTCCTCGTCTAAGATCCATCATTCAACTTTGCCCGCCTATAAAACAAGCCTAACTCAACTTTTTGCCCACGTTCTTGGACTCTTTATAATCCTCACGTCACTCTGCACCCAGAAAACATGGCGTCGGAAACAAATAATGCAGGTTCGGGAAGTTATATCCAATATAGCTTAATCTTGAAATTCTCCTGGAGATACTCCAGACCGTCATCTCGGGACGCCAAGTAAGCTTTTAATACAACAACCACTCGCGATAATCACCAGCAAAGCGCAGTTCAGAGTCACAGAGCCTCTGGAGATTGTACTCTGTCAATGTAGTAAACTTATATTTAGACTGCCTGGAATTAACAGAGCATCATGACATAGAACAAGAGCCTCTCCGGTCTCTCCGTCAAACGCGCCGTGTAAGTCATATTGGAATTATATACAGCCCTACCACTTCACAAATACCCCCAAACGGACCCCAGTAGTCAGAAATAATATTCTTATACCACATGCGATGTCTTTGCACTTTTAGGCACTGGCAAAGGAGCCACTGCCTCCTCCAGAACCATCACCTAGCTTTGTGCTCTATGAAGCTCCACAATTGGTATCGCATGCTATCTCACACTTATCTGCCACTGCTTCCGCATGCATGAGGATAAAAATCACAATAGAATTACAAATATCGTGAATAGGCCATAAGAAGCCAGCTAGACCGATTGTGCCCCTGGATAGATTCAGGGTCTCTGAAGCAAAGGCCTGGCAGTGATTATTCCAGCTGCCAAATTACTAGACGAATGATATGTTTGGCTCAGAGAACATCATGACAAATTGATTCATTTTTGAAAGAGATATGAAATCTATTGGGTATCTAACATCAACACTTCATGCTGTGAAATACACAACCATATAACCCAACCAGCTTCCAACCACGCCAATCGCAGTATACGAGCTCGTAAACATCAACGGGAGGAATTCATAGCTCTTACCAAATATGATCTGGTGTAGGAGTGAGCAGTATAATATGAGTGGGATACTCACAGCAATGTAAAGTGTGCTGAACCGATCTAAGAGGAAGATCCTGGGCTTGTTGGAAGCAGGGGCAAGACGATCAAACGCCATCAGGAAGACAACAAGCCAGGTGATAGTATAGAGTGTCTTGATAGGAAATTCTGCCGGCGTGAATAGCAGGGGGAAGAGTGATACATGACCGGCAACAGCCAGCGGCCGGAAAGCTCCGAGATGACGTCTGTCCCGAAGGGCGATAAGACTAAAGGGGATGATGACAAGAAGAATGGCCTTCTCATGAACATGCCAACCAAAGAGAAAAGAGGCATAGCCACACAGGGTGACAGCACCGATGAACGTCTCCCAGGTTGGTTGAGAGAATAGCTTGATCAAAGGGAGGACCTGGAAGAACAGTGTGAGAACGAAACAGGTTCTTGGGCTGATTTCAGGCAAAACGGCAAAAGCTGTGTCTCCAACCAAGCCACGAGTGACACTCTGCAATGCGTTCTTGTCGACAGTCCAGCCAACGCGTGGAGCAACTATATAATGTTAGGCCAATGGCTGAGGTAGTTGTTCTGAATCAATGCGGAACTTACTGTGAATCAAGATTCGATCCGCAAAAGAGTAAAGAGCCCAGACATTAGGCGCCCAGTAAGCGTGACACAAGCCACGAGAGAAAGGGAACAATCGGCTCAGAAGCTGAGGAATCTGATTCATAGCTGCAAATGGTCCAAAAGCAGCTCCAAAGATGGTTCCAATACCCAAACCCAGCTTGATCGAATTCAAGAATCGGATTCTGAAGATGGATTTAGACGACAGGCAATATGCTCGCAGGAGATATACAAAATAAGCTGGCGCCAAGTACAAGTAAATGTGCTTGAAGCATAGGAGGGCAGCAAAGATGAGCCCACTGGTTAGCAGCTCATTCTTGTCACGAGCAAGAACAAGAGACATGACAAGAATTCCGTACATGAAGCCATTGTACTGGAAGTGGATATGGTCGATAATGAGAAGTCCGGGAGAAAGAATGATAGATAGAGCAGCGACCTGAGCGGCGCGACGGGACTTTAGAGGCGCATTGTCGATGAAGGTCTGAAGAGCCCATACCAGCACAAGCTCTGTAATGATGACAGAAGTTCGTTGGAAGTAAACCGTTTGCCAGCTCTCGTAATCGAGGTTGTAGACTTTGACCATGAAGGGATCAATCAGACGGGCGACGTGTGCGAGGATCCATTCGAAGTAGGCGAAGAATGGGGGATAATCTAGAGTCCATTCCGACGTCTCTTCGAAGTACCACTTCTCCAGAGGAAGACTGTTGGTGATAGCGAGCCAATTGCGATGGACTTCAAAGTCGGTCGATTTGCTTTTCGGTGGGTGGTGAGCGACGGCACGCGACGGACGGATATGATGGAACAAGACTCACTATGCGGGGAACAGGAGGATTTTGAAGGCGGCAGCGACAAGCGCAGTCTGCGCAAGTGTTGGGTAATGTTCGCTCATGATGCGCGGTCACTAATTGTGTTGTCGCGGAGCTGGAGATGGCCTCATGACCTTGTTGCTGTGGGATTAGTTGAAGTAGAGCTTGATACAAGTCATGACGAGAAGGAGATTGGCTCGTGTTCTTTTTTGGACATGAGGTGGTTTGTTCAAGCATGTCCCCACTAAAACACCCTAGCACTGAGTTCCATGAGTTGACAGCTAAGAAACGGTACAACAGAGCTTCCAACAGCCCATTTCACCATTGAGTTGACAGAATTTATGGGCTAATTTCTCAGAGAATGGGTTTACATTAAACCGAGACGTTCAGACCGTTGAAGTAGCCAAGGCAAGCCTAAAGATGCACAACTATCTCTAAGAACCCTCCTCGACATGTCCAATCTGGGTCCAGCTATAGAGTTACTTACAGGGGTATAGCTTTGACACAACTCTAGATAAGTGTCAAAGTCCGAGTAACACAAACAGCTTCCAAACTGTCTGTCTTTTCTTTACTGATTGTTCAATTCAATTAAATCACACAATCTCCAACACCTCGAAAGGGGTTCACCGTATTCTCTTTGAAGCTACCGACGGCCCGAGCTCTTTTCCCCAGCTTCCATCTCTTTAGCTAACAAATCCACCAATGATGCTCTTTACTGGGCATCATCAAGCCACGCCGCTCCAGTTAGAGGTTGCGCCACAAAACCCTTTTCAAGGCTGAGTTGAATCATCGCATGTGGCTTCATCAAGCCAATGTCTGTTGCCCGTGAGACTCTTCCTTCTCCCTTGTTGTGTTTGAGTATCGACTGATAGATTCTTTGTTCTCTTATTATCTTAATTCTTCTATTACATGCCTCGTTATTGTGTCTTTCAGAACTCCATGGTTGATTCTTGATTGTTGGTCCATAGTGAACCCCCGCTCTAAACTCCAACCACCAAGTACGGTATACGCTTGTTCCAGGGGCTGCATAGTGCAAAGTGTCCTTAGACCTCAGCCTTGCCTCCACCAACTCGGCTCATTCCATTCAACTTCCCGAGCTCGTTTTTTCCGTGACCCGACCTTGGGAAAAAGGAGAGTGAGTCCGTCCTTGCGCAGGTGTCTAGTCTAGTCTTTGTCTTGTCTGCGGTTGGGATATTGTTCTATCCTTGTTCTTATTTCGTCTTTTGGTCCCCATCTGCATCCATCTTTACGCTGCTATGAAGGCCTCTTTCTCTTTGGCTGCGCTGCTGGCAGCAAGCCTGTCCCAGGCTCAGTATCTCATCAGTGAACTTAGTTTTGGTCACGCTGGAAGGTTTGTTCTACCTTTTTGTACTTTTGTGGTACTGCATTCACTGTCCAGGGATCCAATGTTGCTAACCCGTGCTGCGTCTATAGGATAAGCCCACCCGAAGCTCGTGGACAGATCCCCAACTTTGCTGTCCAAGGCAACCCCAACACGCCCGAGGTTCTCTCAAACCGAATTATCTTGACACCTCTTGCTCCTGGTAACCAACGAGGTGCTGTCTGGGGCCAGCAGCCTTTGCTTCGCAACCAATGGATCGCCGATGTTGACTTCCGAGCCAACGGTCCTGATCGTGGCCGTGGTAACCTCAACATCTGGCTTGTTCGCAACGGTCCTGCTACGATCGGCTCTGGAAGCATCTACACTGTCGGAAAGTTCGACGGTTTGGCTCTGGTTATCGATACTTCTGGCGGTTCTAGCGGTATGGTTCGAGGTTTCTTGAACGATGGAAACACCGATTACTCGAGGCAAAGCAATGTCGATGAGCTCTCGTTCGGCCACTGCCCTTACAACTACCGCAACCTCGGCCGTCCTTCGCAGGTCAAGCTTCGACAGACCGCCAGGACATTCCGTGTTGAGTTGGATGGCAACCTGTGCTTCGAGTCAGACAAGTTCAGCATTCCCACAGGGTATCAGTTTGGTGTCACTGCTGCTACCCCTGATAACCCTGATTCTTTTGAGGTCTTCAAGATGGTTGTCATGGCTGATAACAGCGATAGTGGTCCTGTTCGTGACCCTCCTAAGCAGAACCAAAACCAAAACCAGGGCCAGAACCAGAACCAGAATCAGCGAGTTCCACCCGTCAGGGACACCTCCAACAGTAACAACAAGCGAAACGACGGCGAGTACGCAGATGAAGATCCCGATATCTTCCAGACTTCCAAGGCTCAGTTTATGGATCTGCACAACCGCCTCCAGAACACCAACCACCAGCTCGCCTCCCTGCAGCGCACCTCCTCACGCCACCAGCAGCAGGATGAGAAGCGCCACGAGGATTTGACTACCCTGATTGGCCAGCTCCGTGCTGATATGCGTAAGCTCGACGATATCACTGCTCTGCACAGTCGTGTCTTGGAGCTCGAGAAGGATATCCAGGGTCTCCGAAAGGAACTCAACCGCAAGCTGCAAAACACCGAGCGTACCTTCAAGGACACGCTCTCTGACCACCATAACTCCCTGTCAGAGACCGTCATGGCCAAGACTCCTGGCCACCGCTTCCTTATCTTTGTTTTCCTTGGTACACAGGGTCTTCTCGTTGCGGCTTATGTGGTTTACAAGAAACGACGCTCATCCATGCCCAAGAAGTACCTGTAAACTCATGAAGAGGGGCTAAAAAGAGGGGGAGTACGGATTCAAGGGAGAATTTGTATTTGGATAGTGAGGTTTGACTTCACGTCTTGTTCCTTGGTATTGATTGCAGTGCTTTGTAAATTAGATGCATGAGCCGTGTGTACATGGGAGAGTTTTTATGTTTAGCAAAAGAAATGAGTATGATGATTAGAAAAAATCATAAATCGATATTGCAAATCTGAAAGACTATGTATCCAAGACTCATTCTCATTACTTGGACCATATACCCATGCCATTAGACCACTCCCAGGCCACCTATAACTAACTATCCACGCATTCAAACACTAAACATTTCAGACTCGCTCGCCTTGCTCGCCGATAGTTTCATAGCCACATGCAAGCATTCATATCGTCGTTAAATCTTCTCAAAGCTGCCGTTGATCACATCAAGCATCTCGTCGCCCTTGGGGGCAGCAGAGGTCAAGTTCTCATAGCCACCGGGTGTGACGAGGATGTCATCTTCGATGCGAACACCACCAACTGGATAGTATGTCTCGAGGAGGTCTTTGTTAATGAACTTGGCATGTGACGGGTTGTTCAGGAAGTATCCCTCAATAAAAGGACGGCAGAAGTAGCTTCGATAAATTAGCTCATGGACTTCAATTTCGAAGGAGGTATAATACTCACATTCCTGGCTCAATTGTCACAATCATGTTGGGTTGGAGAGACTGTCTTGGCTTTGTGGGCGGGGAAGACGAAGCCATACGATGCATGGCCACCAGAGCCGTGGCAGTCACCATCTCACGCTTACCACCCTCGACGTGGAAGTTATCTCTCATCAAGAGACGCTCATAGCCAGTGACATCATGGACCTCAAGACCAACATGATGACCGAGACCGTGGGGGAAGAAAGCAGCGACGGTTCCCGCCTTTTGGATCTCCTCAAAGTTGCCCTTCAGAAGACCCAACTTGCGTAAGCCTTGGAGAGCTACATCACTAGCATGAAGCTGAAGTTCGTAGTAGACAGTGCCGGGTCGAACACGTGCTATACACTCTTCCTGCATGCGCTGCACAATAGAGTAGATCGCAGAGGCCTCCTTAGAAAAGGAACCACTGACAGGGAGAGTACGGGTGATGTCGCTGGCGTAGCATTGGTACTCACACCCAGCGTCGACAACGATCAGTTGCTTGCCCTCGAGAGGCTGGTTGTTGGCTCCGTAGTGTAGAATCGAAGCATTGACACCAGCGCCAGCAATGATGGGGTATGCCTGGGCGTGAGCACCACGTGAAGTACAAGCGGCAAGGAGAACCGCCTCGACATCTTGCTCATTGCGCATCGTAAGGAGACGTTCAGCCACAGCACGATGAGCAGCGGCAGAGATACGTGAAGCGCGACGGATGAGTGCAACTTCATATTCCGTCTTGATTACACGGGCCTCATCCATGGCAGGTCGCAGCTTGGAGCAGTTGATCTGGGTCTGTCCACGTGGTCGATCAGTCAACTTAGGGGCCTGATCAGAATGAAGGACGTAGAGAGTCTTCTCAGGACGAAGTTGGCCATGAAGGAATTTGGACAGCTGAGTAGTATATCGAACATCATCGACGTCGTATTTGCGTATAGCCTCTGCTGCGTCAGGAGTTGGGCCGTGATACAAGACCTGTCGCGGCTCAGCGTAAGGGATCCAGAGGGTGAGACGATCCATGGCGATTTCGTAAGTAACAGCACAGTCGGGAAAGTCAACGCCAGTCATGTAATAGAAGCTGTGTTCGTGTCAGTAGAACTTCTTTCATGAGAACTGTGCAGCATACTATCTGCGTTGCTTGAAAGGAGGCGACTGGTCCGAGTCCTCATAGAGGCGTGTAGGCTCGCCGGGAAGATAGATGAGTCCATCAGTAACGCCGAGCTCTTTGACGACCTTGCGCGCATGGAGTTTTGCTTCATGGTATGTCAGTATTCGTTGGTTCTCAAGACAGGGCTTCTTGGAACATACCAGGATACTTGTTACCACTGCTGCTTTTACCACCGCAGTCATCGTCACCCTTCTTCACCTCAACACACCTACCACGAAGCTCGAGTCAGTGATCTGAGCATTACACCACATCAACAAGGGCATATGAGCCCAAGATCAACTCACAGCGCGTCAAATTCATCCTCAAGCACAAACTCGTAGCTCATTGACCTTCTTTCACGTGCTTGAGGCCTCTGCTCCCCGCAGACGGGCTTCGGCGGCGTTATCGGCGGTGCCATCTGCGTGCACTATAAATGCAGTACAGTACAGGCCTTGTTGACTCGTGCGTAGGATCGAACGAGCGTGTTAAAATAGGGCCGAACGGACAAAGAGAGTTGCTCAAGGAAATGTGTTGTTTATTGAAAAGAGAGAGAAGCTTCAAGTTTCATGTGATAACACATACACTAAAGCCAGGTACTAAGGTAAGCTACAGTTACAGTTAAGGTACAGTTGGAGTTACAGTGTCCGTCCGTAATCAGTCAGCCACAGTCTCCCCCGTATCGCTTCCTTGCGGTGCTCATCGGGAGTGGTCACAGCGTATCGTAACCCCCCGATAACGCCCTTATAAGCCTTCTAAGCCCAAATGCACTAATTCATACACTTCATGACGCAACCAGATCGAATAATGAGACGCTTTTAGTCCGCCGCCGTGGATTTGTTGAGGATTCCGTAGATTAGATTGCGGGACGATCCGATTTTGCATCCGCACACAATTGCTTCAGTGGCTGATAGATCTCGTATCTCCGAGCCAAGCCATATATAAAGTGCACATATGATACTCAAGTCAACCACTTTCAATGTTTCATATGCCTGATGGCAAGTCTCATTACAATTGGATGAATCTATACTCAAAGCTGAATTCATTGCAGTGCCAACAAGTAGTCTTCTTCTCCGTGATCCTACACCTTTCATTCAGCTTCCCTCCCTCCTCTGTTCACATCCCCTTCATCTTCAACTTCAACCTCAACAGACAATCCAATGTTTGTCCAAGTGTACACCAGTTCCAGCCGCCGTCTATGTGCATTGGCCATATCTAAAAACGCGATCATTCCTTTGCCATACTCTTCAACCGTGGTATCCTAGCCCCTTTAACAGTCCAAACACTCCGTTCCAAATCAAAATCGCTCTTCCCATGAAATAAAAATCAAGATCAAAATCACTAGCCGACGCCTCGCGCGCTTTCCGTCCTCCCGTATCATGAGTGGGTATCAAATGTAGCGATCATTACATTCCTTGGAATCCTCCTCTTCCAGAGCCAAAGAAGCCTCCCCAATCCGCCTGCATGCCCTGTTCCGTAAACATTTGCTGTATTTGCCTTTCTTGATGCCGTTGTGCGTGCGCTCGTCGGTTTGACATGGCGTGCCCCTGATGAATCGCGTGCGTTTGTGACACTGGTCGCCGTTGTTGCATCATCGGTTGACCGGGCTGCATTCCCATTATGGCTGATGGGCTGGCAAACATCGGTTGGTGGCCTGGTGCACTCATCATAGGCTGGCCCTGCTGGTGCATCATGTAGGGCGGTGGTTGTCCAAAGATCTGGCTTTCCACATCGTCAAAAGTTCCAGTCAAGAAGAGCTGCATGTCTTGGTTCTGGTCTCCCATAGTGGTGGGCTGGTCTGTCTTGCCCGGGAATCCCAATTCCATCATAGGCTGGTTTGGATAGGCAAAAGGATCCTCAGACGGGAACATGAGCGAGTCGAGCTTGTTGACGGGGTTGTGCATACCCATTTGCTGCCCTGTGTATGGGTAGCGCTGAGTACTTGTCGCTGCGCTGCTGGTCGACTCTGGGGTACTTCGCTGCAAATCGGGAGACATGAAATCACCAAAGTTGGCTGAGAAAGTGTTATCTTGGAAGGCTGTCATGCCTCCTCCGGGCAGATCCATCGTTCCTTGGGACAAGGTTGTAGGATACGAGCTTGTTGACATTTGACTTGCACGAGTAAAATCTGTCGTTCCTATCGAGGACATGCTTGCGGGAATTGGAGTGTGATGAGACGAAACAGAGGAAGGCCGTCCTGTAGGGGCGGGTCTCTTCTTTGAAGGGGCTTGTCGTATCGCTCCAGCATCCAATTGCTCTGGTAATTGATCGAATAGAGCCTGTTTCAACGTCAGTAAAATCACTCGAGTTGGAATTTTTAGGTCATACCTTGAGGGCACTGGTAACTCGTTCGGCGGACATGCTCTTCTCTGCGAGGGCTGCAATCATTTGTCTTCCAGCTCGAGCATCTGCTAAAACCTCGCCAGAACCTGGTTTCTCGGGGTTTTCTGTAGCATAGAACACAAGGGATAGGACGGCAAAGAACTCAGTGTACAGCATGAACCAGTACGGTCCGCTGAGAACCCGCTGTTTGCGGATTTCCAATCCAATGTGCACAATGTTACGAGAGACGCTGATGGCTGCGGCTGCACAAGCATATGATAGCTCGTCGACCTTGCCTCCTTGACTCAAACGAGGAGAGACGTAGTGCAAGAATGGTCGGTATAGCACAAGTTGGACATGTGCATAGGCAAATCTCAACAAATGACGGATTCTGTCACCTTGGTTAGTAATGCTCTACAACATCTTCAGAAGCATCATTGCCGCACTTACCGAACCGTCTCAATTGGCCCCTCACCGCTTGGGCGCCAATGCTGGGGTAGCCTTTCAAACCAAGAATGAAGCTCAGCTTCAATTTCCTTGATGCGGCCATAACTAATTAGATAGGTGGAGGCAGGTTTGTTGTCTTTTGCAACGGTCTGGCCCACTCCCTTCGTTGGATAGACGTATTTCGTGACCTTTGCCAAAATTTCCATGAGCTCTGAATGGGCGTTGAACGCTTGGAAGAAAGATGGTGATCCAGGCGGTGGTCGCAAAATCCCGGTGTGTGTAATAAACTCATCGTCAACTTCCAAGGGGAACGGCTGATCGATGTCGTCCACGTTAAGGAGGAGAGGAAAGCCAAGTAATGTAGAAACATAGATATCCATTTGTCGGACCACGTAGAACACACGTTTCCGGACTTCCTGCTCAATGGG